ACTCACTACCAAGCACAATTATTTCCAAATATTACTCTTATTTCAATTGTCAAACACAATTGAATATTCTCAAACTTACCAAAACAATAATTTCAAAAATCTTCTATATCTTAAATATTACTATTATTTTTTTTTTTGYTTTTAAAAATATGTGTAAGTATAATAGATCTCAACAACAAAACTAACAATTTCGGTTAGTTTGATTTTGTATAATTTGAATTTGATTCGGGTAATTTAGTATATAAATTGCTATACCAATTCATACAATATATAATTCAGTTCGAATTTGGATTGATGAATTTTGATTTGATGGTTCGATTCAAACATTTTGTCAATCATTTGGTGAAATATATTTTTATATAAAATAATCGTAAATTCGAATATAGACAACCAAATCTCGGATTTTGTATAGTAATTTTCACATTAATTAATTTTCTTTTTGAACTAAAATTATCAAATTCGAATAATCATTCCGCCATTCATTAAGATTGATTTTTAACTAAACTATATGCGGTAAAAAAAATTCATTTGTACGAGAAATTTCAACGATTTTTACCCGAAAAATTCGGGTCGGATAGGACTGATTTAGCATAATTGAAATACAAATGCCTAACTAAAACCCGACCACAATTGACTCATAGCTTTTTATTTAAAAAAACAGGGTCATTCTCAAGAACGGCAGTGAATTTTAGTGCCGGATGCGAGACGGCAGTTTCGAACATTGTAATGGCGATTACGGTAATGATTTCGCTTGAAGTTTTGACGAGGTTTCTTTACTTCACACCGACGGCAATTCTTGCCTCCATTATCCTCTCGGCACTTCCTGGTATCATTGATATATCCGGCGCTTATCACATTTGGAAACTCGATAAGCTCGATTTTCTCGTCCTTATCGCCGCATTTTTCGGCGTCCTCTTTGCCTCCGTCGAGATAGGACTTCTCCTCGCTGTGAGTCTTTCTTTTATCCTTTTTACTTTTCTTGCTTTTAGTAAAAAAATCTTAAATATCCGGAAAAATGAACAATGCAGTATTATTAACTACAAGCATTACAAATTATGACTAAAACGTTGTGATATTTCAGATTGATTGATGGATTAGTCGAGTCAGCTAAGTATATCCAATCATGTGAATTAACTTTGTAGGGACCAAAAGCGTCAATATGTCATATATTTTATAACCAATAAAATTGTTATATCAAAATAGCTACTAGGCCGACCAAATTCGCTGTGCATAGACCTTGAAAGACAAAACAGCAATAATGTATAATGTTTTATTCAAATTTGAGTACACATAAATTCAATTACATATGTTTGATGGGTCAAAAAATGAAGTCAAGTTGTGAATGAACAAGACAAAGTACCTCTTGACAATTAACTGTGAGACATTGTTGCCCTTGATCCCACTAGAATTTTTATAATCGAGTCCTCGTAGCACCATCTATTTTAAGAATATTTCTCTCTTATATATAAATCCTTTTGCCAAACCCTAGAATTTTAATCAGCTTAATCACTTGTGATCTTACTAGTTAATATAAAGCTGTGAATATTAATCGATAGACTGTAACATTTTGATGTGATTGTTGTTGTATATGTATGTAGGTGGGTATATCGTTTGCGAGAATAATGTTGAGTTCGATAAGACCAAATATTGAGGCCTTGGGGAGATTGTCAAAAACAAATATATTTGGTGACATAAATCAGTACCCAATGGCTAACAAAACTCCAGGGTTATTGACTCTTCGAATCAGCTCTCCTTTGCTTTGCTTTGCAAATGCCAATTTTATTAGAGACAGGTTCAATTTCTATTTCATTAATTTCTTTTTATTTTGCTCAAACATTAATTACTCTTATAAAACTCAATTTGACAAATTTCTCTTCTTTAAAAAAATCAGAATATTGAATGCAGTTA